CTTCTGATCCTTCAGACACCATGCTAATTCAGAATCTTTATACTTCAAATAGATAACCACAATATGTACAATGATTCCTCCTGTTATAAAACAGAGCTATTTCCATGAAGCCATCTATTAGATTAACTCCCTACTACTATTTCTCTAATATTTTGAGTATAGTCCTTGACAACAGGATTGAGTCTAAAGTCTTTAACCTTCTATAATTTAACTTTAAAAAATTTCCCCTTACCTCCCCTCACACTTCTATAAAAATTTCTAGTTTAGCCAATCTGGTCTATTTATCATCCAAATAACATAGTCTATGCATTTCCCGTGCCATATCTTCCATCTGGAAGACATCATGCTCCTGATTCTTGGAAGTTCACCTTAAACTTTCCTATTCCCTTGCTGCCCAACTAGAAGTACTCTCCAGGAAAGTTAGCTAAGAAAGATCAACTCCTCCAGCTGCAAAATCAACTTCAAAAAACCATCCCCTCCACCTATACCACTAAAACATTTGGGGGAAACTGAGACCAAAGGACAATACAAACACTCTTCTTTCCAAACATTCTTTTCCAACATATTTATCTTGATCGTTTCCTACATGCTAGAAGCTGTGCTAGCCACATGCACTTAAGTGTTTTGTGAGAAAGACTGACAGTATATAAATCATCACATCAGTACATAAGTAAATGTTGAGGAGTACACAAAAAAAGGTGGGGGGAGGACAGGGTGCACTGATATTTAAAGTCTGTGTGGCTGAGGGAAGGGTGAGGTGTGAAGTTAGTCTAGTATGGGAAGACAGGAAAGGGATTAATTCAGTTTGGGAAGCAACAGAAGGCTTCTTTAAATGGGGGAACCTGTTAAGCAGGGGTGAAAAAATGATTAGGAATTAACTCTGCAAAGAGGTGGAAGAGTTCTACAGGAAGGAGAGCCAAGAGAAAGACACTTTCAAGGATAAGGTCAAGGTGCTAGAGTACAATGAAAACTGTAAGAGGTGTGGCTGCAAAGGCCAGGAGGGACAGGAGCATGCTGGGCTTTAAAGGTCCTACTGAAGGTTTCTAGGGTTTATCCTAAGAACAGCCCTTGAATAGAATGTCCCAAGATTTTAAATTAGATCCATGGCTGACCCTGGGATGAGTAATGAAGAAGTAATTCTGAACTCAGAAAGAATTCTAATTTTATTACAATTAAAACACTTTTGCACCCCATCACTCTTCTTTGTGTGTGTGATCTCACCTCAAGTCAAGTTTAAAAAGCATATGAATTTATACATATGGCCATTTTCAGCTGGTCAACCTGGCTTTGCCAAGAGATCATGTACACACACACACACACACACACGTATGTGTATGCACCTTTAATACTTAAGGAAGTGTGGGCCAGTTTTATTTTTTTAAAAGCAAAATATTCCAATTAATAACAATCCAATGAAAAGCTCCATTTCACTGTCTGGCTATGTTAAATGTTCATTCTCTTGCCTTTTTTCATAGGATCCCTCATAAGGCAATATAAGTTTTAAAGAGAATACCAACAAAATTCTTGCCAAAGATTGTTTTAATTCTAATTGTTTTTATCCTCACCTGTCTATACTGGTGAGGATTTGGAAAGAAGATTGTTTGTATTGTCCTTTGGTCTCTGTTTCCCCCAAATATTTTAGGGTATAGTAGGTGCCTGCTATTCTACATTTCAAAATGCAATTACAAGTTTAAGTTATTTCTTCTAAAATTACAATTACATCATAGAAAAAAAGTTAAAGAAGTTCGGGTAACAAAGTAAGTAACAAAAAGACAGCTAGCATTTTTTGAGCAATTTCTGTATACCAAGTAGTTTATTAAGCACCTTAGTACACATTATCTCATTTAATTCTGAGAGGTGCCTGCTATTCTACATTTCATAAACACAGAAACTGGGGCTTATAGAAATATGTAAGCATTTCTCCATAATATATATACCTTAGACTTGTGCTATGCAGACTGGCCTGTGGTCACATGAGGCAACTAAACATTTGAAAAGAGGCTAGTTTTATCAAGTTGAGCTATAAGTATCACCATATTTCAAAGACTTAGTATTTAAAGATATCTTTAATAAATTTTTGAATATTAATAATACGTTAATATCACCATATTTTGGATATAGTGTGTTAAATAAAATGATTATTAAGATTAGTTTTACCTAGGTTTTTAATCAACTACTAGAAATTTTTAGATTACCTATGTGGTTCACATTGTGTTTTTATCAAACAGTGCTGACCTAGAGACCAAAGGTTAGGAGCTGATTTGGCCAGCAGACACCAAGTTGAAAGACAAATTAACACAGAAAAGGATACATTGATTCATAAAGATACTGGTTTTAATCTCCTTTCCATCAGTGAGTGGTCTTAGATAAGTTACCAAATCTCTTGGCACTTCAGTTACATCATCTGCATTATGGTGATATTAAATGTCCTCTAACAACTACTTCATATAGTATGTAAAGCAGCTAGTTGGTACACAATGAGCAAAGGAAGCAATTACTGAATACCTACTATAGCAATTGGGAAGTTTAAAAATTGGCTCGCAAAAGAATACAAAATTCACCCATTTGAAAATCATGTTTTATTCTTTTTCAGTGAGAGGAGTTAGAGAACGCTAGCTAGCTTAATATATGCCTTACTTTTAGATTGTATTAGAATATAAATCATTTATAGCCAATCCTCTCTCCCATTAAATTGTTTCTAAGATGGGTACAGCAGCACATGCCCATAATCCCAGGGACTAGGTTGTGGGGACATGGTGCTGAAGCTTTAGGATCACAAGTTCAAAGACAACCTGGAAAACTTAGGGAGAACCTGTCTCAAAATAAAAAATAAGGACTGAGGATGTAGCTCAGTGATAGAGTGCCCATGGTTCAATCTCCAGAACCCAAAAAATAAAGCTTCTAAAATGTTAGATTGAGAAGCCACAAGATGAGGTTAGGGAAGGTATAAAAAAGAGGACATAGAAGTAAGGGCCTGAGTGTTCTTGAGTATACAGTAGTTAAATTCCAGTGAAAACAGTTTTGAACTCTAATTCAGCTACTCAATGGCCTTTTAAACATAACGAACTAAGACTAGTGAGTAAAGTGGCATCTGGGAAGTAAATTTTACTCTATTTTCTTTTCCTGGATCACAGTGCAAATTATTCCAGGATACAGACTATTTCATTATTACAACTGAGAAAAGTAATTTGCGCTATATTACAAGAAACCCAAAATACAAGGACCATGCGATCTAACACTTTGCCATATTCTTTGCCCTAGGCTTCTGCCAAGTTAGCCCTGTATCCAGGTTGTACATGCACTTTATAATGTATTATGTATGCACTTAAATGTGAAGGGTGGGATAGCTAGAGCATTCACTTGGATTATTTGATATATGTATCTGGTCTAAATTGACCTGAGACAATGAATGAGACTACCTATTTTTGAGTCTGCTTTCTTTTTAATTGAGTGCTACTGGGGTAAGGGGATAATAATTAAGGATTTGAGTTACTTAAATGTAGCTCCTTTAAATCATATACATAGATACCAAAATTGTTCATCTAACTACAAAACAACTTTAAGATAATAAGACTGGAGAAATAAAAAGCTATTGGATGCACAGATTTGAAAACAAAATAGAGACCGTGAAATAGTCACTGTTTTAATTTGGAATTTAACACAAGAATTTACATACAAAATTTTAGTTTTGCTGTTAAGAGTGTATACTCAATAAGTTGCGGGTGGAGTAATGAGAAAGGACCTTCCCTTTAATCTCATATGTAGCACTATCCATCACTTGCAATGAATTGTAAGCATCCCCTGAATATGAGTGACTTGGCCCTGGCTCTTTCAAATTAATAGATTCACACTGACTTATAATGTGATTGTGTCTATAGCACACCTATCTTTCAGTAAATGTCTTCACATTTAGAACTATGGGTAGAATAAGCCAGGAAAAAAAAAAAGACGACACTAAAATTGTTGGCAACATTAATAATGACCAGATGAAACAGTAACATGTAATTAAATAATAATTAGAAAAAAATTACCAAAACCCTACAATAATATGTTATTACATTTCTGATGCTTAAATTATAGAGAAAAATATTCAGTAAATTTAAGAGAAAACAAACATTTTAAACCATTTGGTCAACAGTATTTCCAAAACACTTTAGGAATTTAACAGGAAAGAATTTATTTGCATAAACTTTAAATTAGCTAATACTTCAGTCGCACTTTTGAAGACACTTCTATTTTGTTTTGAGAAATGCTTTTATCCCTCCATTCTGACCCTCACCCCATCCCACCGCCTGAGGATAAAAGTGAATAGATTAAATAAGGAAAAAGTTAAGATGCATTATTTTACTGTGAATGGCATATTTGTACTATCATATGCAAATAATCTCGCAACCCCACTGAGCTGTTAGGATGTCTTCAAATAATTTGATAATCTGTCTTTAAAGTTTCGCATTAAATTAGAGTTCATTTTTGCAAAACGCCTGGCAGCATTAAATCTTTTCTGAAAAGATAAAGGTCTCCTTCTTCTCGAACTGACATCATTACAGGATACATTTGTGAAAATTTTGCTGTCAAACATTGCAAAGGTAGGGGTGCGTGTGTGTGTGTGTGTGTGTGTGTGTGTGTGTGTTATCTGCAGACGTCTCACCTACACTCGCACAGCTCTCCTCTCCCCGACGCACTTACCCACCCCTCTCCCGCCCCCCCGGCAAGTTTCAAACTTTGTTTCCTTTGGGGTTCTGCACCCGCACTACCAACAACATCCAAAAGACAAAGGGCTCTGCCGTGGGTTAAAGGAATGCCAAATTTTAGTAGTGAGACAAAGCACTCAAATTTGAGCTTCAGGCGGAGCGGAGAATGCTAAAGCCCAAAGCTCGACGCCCTCTCCCTACACAGCTCCCTCCCCGCGGCCCGCGCGGGGAGCTCAGGCCGCCGGACTGCGACTCCGAGCTGCAGCCGCCAAGCCCCCAGCACCCTGTGGGGCCACCCGGCCGGCTCACCGCTTCACTCGGATGATCTGGTCCCGCATGGGCTTGATGTCCTGGAAGCTCTGCTGGTTGACCAGGCTGTACACGAGGATGAAGCCCTGGCCGTTTTTGATGTACAGGTCCCGCATGGACGCGAACTGCTCGGTGCCCGCGGTGTCCAGGATCTCCAGCACCGACGGCGACGAGTCCACCTCGATCTCCTTGCGGTAGAAGTCCTCGATCGTGGGGTCGTATTTCTCGATGAAGGTGCCGGTCACGAACTGCACGGTCAGGGCGGATTTGCCTACCCCGCCCGAGCCCAGCACCACCACTTTGTACTCGCGCATCGTCCCTCCGCGGCTGCCGCCGCCGTCGCCGCCCGCGACATAGACCTCCGCCCGCCGCGCTGCGCCCCGGACCCTGCCCCGCGGCCGGCCCCGCCGCCTTCCGCGGCCGCCCCCACCTCACGGCCGCGGCGGACCCCCGGGCCCCGGCGGCGGGCCCGCAGCTGAGAGAGCAGCGGCCCTGGGCATGGGCCGAGCCGGGCAGCGAAGCGACCCCGCGGGCGCCGGCAGAGACTGAGGGCGAGCTGGAGCGGGAGCCGCCGGAGCCGCCCGAGCCGCGGGCCCGCAGTGCCGCCCGCCCAGCCCCGCCCCTCGCGCCTCCACGCCCAGCTCCCCGCCCGCTGCCTCTTCCCCCGGCGCGCGCGCCCGAGCACAGCCGCAGCGCTGCCGGAGGCGGGGTCGGCGGCTGGGGCGGAGCCACGACACAGCCCCGCCCCCAATCCCTGTCGCCTAGGCAACCGGCCGCGCGCGCTCCCGGGAGGCCCTGCACCGCGCAGAAGCGTAGTCCTGCCCTGGGATAAACAAGCTTCACGTCCGCTCGGCAACACCCAACCCCGCACACCCGCGGCAAACCCTAGCGCCTGCGAAATGCGCGTGCGCGCTTCCCGCTTGCGGCAGGGGTAAAGTCCATTTGAGACTCCCACGCTCAGAATTTGGCAGAGAAGATGAGGTAGAGGGGCCATGGGAACTTCCAGGGTGGAAGGTGAGAAGACTAGATGCGCGATGTCCAAAGGGAGTCACTGAGTGCCCCTGCCCTATACCACCCAGAGTATTCCGGGGGTCTTCGTTCTTGTATAAACAGAACGATGTGAACCTTTGTTTAAGGAGAAGCGCCTCCAGGTCTCTGCCTGAGGCTGGTGAAACAATGAGCTGTAGCTTGGTTTCAAACGCCCAGACACTGAGGAAAGGAAGAGCCGGCCCTTCGGCCCTACGCCCTAGAGCTAGTCAGGGGCGCCCAGACACCACGTAAACCAGGTCCACGCCCGATGACGTCCTCCAGACCCGCCCCTTTTCGGTGCCCTCAAGTCGAGCTCTTCCCACGCCCTGACAGACATCGGCGCACGGAAAACCTGGAAAACGGAGCTCCCACCGGCAGCGGGAAGGCTCGGCGATACCTCATAGCAACAGCCTGCTGGGGGCATCTAGTAGGAAGCTGGGATTCGTTCTAACCAATTAGATCACGCCTCTGCACCCCATGGTACCACTCACAACCAATAGAGAGATGTTTGGTGCTATGTGTCCCCCCCCCACGAACCAACTTCAACCAATGGGGAAAACCCTAGTCTAGACTCAGCCAACCCACCTCCCAGAGCCTCACCAGGCTGGGCATTTGCTCTTGCGCACGCTCTGCCAACCAATCATAGGTGAGCTGATGAATGACGGAGGTTTGGGCTGAGCCAACCAGGACTCGCAATTCCCTTGCCTCCGAGGGCTGGTGGTATGGAGACCGGGCCAACGCTGGCTGAGTCTGGGAGGGGCGGAGATGGAAGGGCTCATTGCGGTGCTCTGTTCTGGCAAAGGAACTGGGTGCGTTGGCAGGCGAGAGTGATGAATTCTGCTTTTAACGTCGTCTCCGTGGCATTCTGCCTGAAAGATGGGCATGGAAGTGGTGCTGAGGGATGTGGGCTGAATCGTGGGCTGAATCGAGAAAACAGGGACTTTTGTCTTTAGGGTGAGAAATTTTCCGGTCCTTAGGAGGCACCGTGCTGCAGTCGCATTGGTCTTCCATGCGTGCCTTCTAAAACATTTCTTTTTTCTTTCACTACTAAAAATTTAGCACTGTGTCTTTGATATTAGAACTTAGTTGCACACCTTCTCCCATACGATCATATTTAAGAAGCTTTACATCTTCAATCATCCTCGACTGTGGGTTTTTTTTTTTTTTTTTTTTTTTTTTTTTGGAATCACTGATTGCTGTATTTAGCTTTTCTAAAACATTTCCTTCTCGAACAGGTCTCCCCGTGTCCATTGCTATCTCACATTTCTTGAGAACAATACATTTCTGTAGTTCTAATGTTAGATCCTAGTATACCTACCCACCATTCTTCTTTCCCACAAGGTCATCCTAGAGAGGATTTTGATCTGAGTTTCTCTAAAAAACAGATGTTCCCCACCTTTTCTATCAACTATCAAATTACTATAAAGGTGTACTCGGATTTTTCAATGTCCTCCTGCTCTGATAGCTCCATTATACGATTATGTTAGTGGATAACTAACTATGTTTGCATTACCTTGCTGTAGTATAACACGCACCAAGTTTTTGTTTAAAATAATTGAGGACAAATATCCTGTCAAACTTAAAATATAAATTGCAATTGTTCCTCAGTAAAATACAGCTGTCTCTGATACCCAGAAGATTGTTTTCAGAAAGGATACCCACACACATATCCCAAAATCTGCAGATTACATAACATGGTATATTTGCATATAATCTATACACATCTTTCTCTATACTTTGTCATTTCTAGACTGCTTATAATGCCTAATAGAATGTAAATGCTATGCAAATAATTGCTATATTGTATGGTTTAGGGCATAAAGACTAGGGGGGAAAGGCAGTACATGTTGGGTACAGATGCAGAATTTGATCTGTGATTGGTTAAATCCGTGGTTGCAGAACCCATGGATATGAGAACTGGCAGTATAATTCAGTTATTACTTCTTGGTTACATATTGACAAACTATGAGAAGTTAAATCTGAACTACCAGAATCGTGGTGAAAGCACTCAGAAAAATAAAATATCAGAAATGTTTTAAGGGAATGTAAACTGACAAGAATCATATCTCAATCTAATCTAGTAATGTAAAGAAGTAAATTTAAACATAGAGCTTACATGGATATGTCATACCTGAGCAACAATGGCTATAATTCAAGAGGATCATATAGGTAAATAAAATGTTCACCTAGCTTTATAGAAGTCTCATATTTTGTGTAAAACTGATATGTGTTTTTATGATTAGTAGCAGCTTCATTTTTCTGAGGACAGACTGTCTCTTGTAGGCTGCAAATTGTGCATCTTGATGATGAGAAGTTCCTATGCTTGCTGAGGATTAAGTTGAGTGAAGAATCATCAAACTCTGTCTGTAAAGGTCATGACAGCCCATGTTGTACCTTGCATTACAGTAGTACTGACAATTCATTCACTTTGCAAGGGATAAAGGTACCATGATGTTTCTTTTTTTGAAAATTTTGCATTGGGGTTATGGATACTCAAGGTAAATTTAGGCATCTGTTTTCATTATTCCTAGGTCCCCAAAGTTGGGAAACTCTAGATTGTAGTGCATCTAATAGCAGTTGTTACAAAAATAGTGAGGGGCAACCTAGCACCCCACTTAGAATAATAGCTTTTTGACATTCCTCAAGCTGTTTTCCCTGACCTTTCATCATGTTGACTTTTTCAATAGGGAGAAGTGTAGAAACTGCAGCCCATGGAGTGATTGTGACCATTTATGTTTCTCATATGACAGGCCTCAGTTTTCATTCCCATTCATTGCCATAAAGCAAAAGAAACACAATGGGTAGTAGCTTATTTTTTGTATCTACTTTGGCTTGGATATTGGTGGTATGGAGACCAGGCCGATGCTGGCGGAGTCTGGGACAGGCAGAGATGGAAGGGCTCCTTTGATTTGTGGCTGTATGTAGCATAGTGGTTAAAAGGTTAGCTGCTGTAAGAAGGATGTGAGGACATTTAGAGAATTTGAAGATTTGGGTGGGAGATGGGTGTCTATTTCCTGATCCCTTGATCATGTTCATTTATGTGTCTGTATAACCTTTATTCCAGGCTTGATTTTAGAAATAAAAATATATATCTTCATTTTTTTGTAGGAAAGAAAACAAAAAAGAGATAAGGTGAAAATGATTTTTTCCCCAAGAGCAGTAAATCTTTATGACAGTAGAAACTCAACACTATACACTGACACTGTGGGGTCCCTGCAGTTTCAGAAGTATGTTTCTGTGAGAAAAGAGAGGGAGAGGGAGAGAGAGAGGGAGAGGGAGAGGGAGAGGGAGAGGGAGAGGGAGAG